ACCATTTTGGACGCATTTGGATCGTTGTTTAGTTTTGATAGATGGTTATTATTAAATCTAAATTCAGTTCCATTTTCAGTGATTTTTTTCGTTCATCGATCTAAACACAAATTCCTGTAAATGCAAGTTTTAATCAACCCGCTCTCATTAGCTACAATCATTGACTCCCGATACGCCATAGATGTCCTCTAAGATATAATTCCAGAGCTACTTCTTATGTGGCGGAATTGGATATTGTCTTATAAAAGGAAAACAGCCATAATAAGAAATGAAAATATGGCTGTTTTCCTTATTATTTTTACGTACAAGTTACTGTGCTGTACGAACCTGTGTTGGCGGATGGGGTGCTAGGATCATTACAGGGGTCTGGCGAAGGAGAAATTTCTAGATGCACAATGCGAAAAACAACAGAATCCTTCTTATTTTACATGGACGAATAACGCGGCTGCCTCTTCATCGCTTACCTTGGCGAAGTAATTGCCTGGACAGCTTGGTACGAATATTTTAGATAAATATTCAAAACACAACGTAAGAACTTGGGTTTCCATAAGGTTTATTTCAGTCCAATAGGAAGGCAACAACACGACATACCAGTAGCGTGAAGAGATGTTTATAGGAAAGCAAGAAGTTGCACGAATTAGATCTGACAGTTTGAAATAACTGCAGTGACATAATTTAACTCATATAAGTTCGAAGTATAAATGTGGTATGATGTAAGTTTTCATTTTGGGGGGAATGATAAGGCTACTTTCCCCCCCAAAAAAATTATGATTGCAATTTGTTAGTCTCATTTTCATATTTTCACGTTTAGGTGATCCAGTCTGCAGCATACTGGATCACCGGGAAATTGAAATATAAAGCACCTTGAAAACATATAGTGTAATAACAGACGAACAACTGCTCCAATCTAATTAGCTTACTAGGTACTTACTATAATTTTGCAATAGCTGTTACTTCATACGACCACGGCTTTATATGGTCTGTTTGAGGATGGATATCGCATATTATCGTCATTTCATCCGTAGTAGGCCGACATGAGGAGATATCTTAACTATTTGACAGAGGTGAATATTACATACTGGTGGATATGAGTACTGTACTAATACATTCCAGTGTCATGTTCCAACGTACACAGGAGTCCGTGATTCGTAAACGCTACACTACATAGATTACCTCAGCTGATTCCTTTTCCCGGAATTATTTCAAGAGGGAGAATATAGTGTTATAACATATTGCTATTATCTATCACAATACATTTTCTTAATCTATTTAAGGGTGATGCATATCAGATATCCATTGATAACTATTTAAAGTGGCGTGATGGCCTTTAAAAGCAGCAGGAACGCATAAAATCATCCGTGGCAGCATTGCTAGGTAGGCTTGATGTAACATGTGAGGCTGACTGGGACTTGTTAAATGCGAACTAACATCAAGAGAGATAAGAGACAAACGAGGCAAACTGTGCATTGCACATCTCAATAATATTACTTTACTCGATATTATGAATTTATAACCCAAGTAGTAGTGAAAACAGCCATGCATCCTCAATGGACATGTGAAACTATTACATTAATTACTGATATTAGGAGTTTACATACCTTAACGATCATTTTGAATTGAGCTGCCTTTACTGTAAACTTTAAACTAACTGATCTAACAGTACTGCCTTCTCGTGGCAAGACGAGGAATACCTGATACTGCCTTGTCCTTTACAGCAACAAGGGAGTTCATTGGTAAATAGCGGAAAAGGGTATTTTCAAGTTACTCGAAATATTTGATTTACAAGAATTCTTCCATCTTTCTTTTTCAATCAATATTTTATCATTTATCATTTTATCTAAAGTATTCCTGTGTGATTTGTCTTCCGTTACAAAAAATGAATAATGTCAATGTAAATAAATTAGTGTATTATTTTCCATTTGAAGCTGGAGCTTTATGAAACAACTGTACATAAAGGGCATTTTATTAAAAAAATATAATTACAAAATCTATAAAAACATAAGTATAAATCATTATATATAATATCTGTATTTTTCCCTGAAGTTAAGGCCTCGTGATAAGAAAAGAATACTGAAATGATATAAGGAGTATAAAAATGCATAGATACATATTGAAAAAAGAATATCATACGGAGATGCATTACGTTGCATGTCATAAAAAATCGTGTTTTATAAACATTTCATAAATCATGCCTCTTGATTCACTCACACTGGAAGTTCTTTCTTTGACTTTTTACACATATTTCCCCAGTAATTTTCGATCTCTTTCAAAGTTTTTCCTTGCGTCTCAGGAATGTAGATGACGACCATGACGATGCACAAGAGGGTGCTTCCCGCGTAGCTCCAGAAAACCCCGTGTATCCCAATGGCTGCTTTGAGAGCCGGGAAACTCATGGAGATCAGGAAGCCGGTTATGGCCTGGAAAGCGTTGGTGGTGCCGCAGCCTATGGACCTCACGGGGCCTGGGAGGACTTCCACAGATAAAAGCCAGCAGAGAGGTC